TTGGGGGCTTTTACAGCTTCTTGTACACCTCCAGCTTTCTCTTGAGCTGTCAGCTCCATTGACATCTTCCCTGGGGAGTGGGTAGTCGCTGTAGGCTGGTGTTAGGAGAGGACGTTGACTCCGTGGAAAGGTCAGCTTCTTTCCACACTCCTTGATTTTTTCCCAAAGTTTTCCGGTTCCGACACAATCTCCACAATTTCCTGCTTCTTCAGAATTCCCTCCCGAATTTTCTCCAAGGCTCTAACCCCTTGAGAATCATTCAAGCATCTTTATAAGATAACATTAATGAATCCTTATCATTTCTTGGGTCTTCAAGGAGTTTCCCCGTCTCGGCTGAGTCTTCTTTCGCGGAGTCAGTTTTTTTCTCTGCGATTTTCCCTGGCGATCATGGGGTGGAGATTTTCCCCCATCATTTCCTCCTGCTCGTGTCGAATCAGATTCGTCGAAGTTGATTTTTCCGGGATTCCGCGGCCGCTTTCGAGTCTTTTCTTATTCGGCAGCTAGATCTGCAATCACAAGCGATTCCCGATTTTTTTATTTTTGACTGGCCGAAGAATTTCTGCCACTGTTGCATGTTTGATACTCTGCACGGCTGGATGTGCTTCGCTCTGCCCTCTAGTCGAGGCTCCTGACACAGGAGGATCATGGCCCTGTTGTCAGTATACAGGACCAAAGCAAAGCTAGGTCGCTCACCTAAGTCATTGAGCAAGAACGTCAGCAAGCGGAGCCCTTGTGCCCCCACGGCGCCCTAGTAGATCTCAGCCTCATGCTACAGACGACGAGCGGGTGGAACTCCACGAGATAGCACCAGCACGAAAGCTAAAGCAGTAGCCCTGGAAGGATCTGAGCGTCTCAGCGTCGTCCGGCCATGAACCGTCTGTGTTCCTAGACGCAAGGATCTGATGTAGTTACTAGATCACGCAACACCCTCGTAGTGGCCAACCAGTGTTGGGGTTGGGGTCTGCTTGTCGCAACAAACCGAGCAAGGATACTAAGAGGGTATGCGAGATTTGGACGAGTGCAAGTGATCAGGTACATGAGGCAGCCCACAAGCTCTGCGTACTGACCTCTAGGCTCGACGGGTTGGTCAGGGACCGGAGCTGAGAGCCTGTGGTCATCTGGCAGAGGGGTGGGCTGTGCGGAGGAGAACTGAAGGCCGAACCTTTGAAGGACTTGACGCACCAAGTGTGACTGTGTGAGAGTGATGGTGCACGCTGCTCTGTCCCTGGAGATCTACAACCCAAGGTAGTGGCGCAGCTCTCCTAGGTCAGTGCAGGTGTGTCTCCTAAGCAGCTTGGCCTTTACTGAGGCCAGTGCATCTCTATCAGCTGTAACGAAGACCAGGTTGTCTACATAGACTAGGATGTAGAACGGAGTCTGGCCAGAGTGAACAAAGAGAAACGGGTTAGCAAAGGACAAAAAGAGCTGGAGGTCCGCTAGTGTAGAACCTAGCGTGTCATGCCACTCATAGGGCGCCTGCCGCAGACCGTAGACCGAGCGCCGGAGGAACCATTGGGTCCCAGGAGGGAAATATCCAGTGGAGCCTGGCAAACACCGCAAGTAGATCTTCTGGTGCAGGCGGCCCTGGAGAAACGCAGTGGAGAAGTCAAGTGAGTTGAGCTCGTGTCGCGATGTGCTGCTACGTGAAGTATCGTCCGAAGAGTGGTCATCTTCAGGGTAGGGGCGAAGGTCTGGAAGAAGTCCACTCCCGCGCGCTGGCTGAAGCCTTTAGCAACGTAGCACACCTTCAAAACTGGTGGCTCCCCAGGCGGGCGCTTCACGTTGAAGAGCCACCAGCCATCGACTAGATTTACCCCCGGTGGGGGAACTGCGTCGACATAGGTGCCGGTGGATCTCCAAGATGCAATCTCTCTGTCCATGGCAGCTATCCACTGAGAAGCCCAAGGTCTCGTAGTCGCCTCAGCATAGGTGCGAGGTGTCAGGATGTCAAGAGCGTCAGGGTCACCCTCAGGGGCTAGCAGCCTGGAGCAGAGATGAGGAGCGGCCTCCGCGAGGATAGCTAGCTCGTATTGCCTATCCTCAAGGACGTCATTGCCAAGGGTAGGTGCACCCCCGGCGGACTGAGGTCGGGCAGGGTCGGAGACCAGAGAAATGGCGTAGTCAAGGCGGTGGGTAGAGGTAAAGTCAGCGACGGCAGCGACAAGAGCTGAGAGACTGGAGACAGGAACAGACGGGTCGGTAACAAGAGGCTAGGACACGAGGAATACGAGGGCGAGCAGCACGGAGGAGGTCAGAGAGAGGAGGGGAGGTGATAGCAAGGGACGACTGAGGAGGCGACATCAAAACAGGGGCGGGAGGAGCATGAGATGCACGAGAACGGAGAAACAGAGGCTGGGCACTCGGACTGGGAGAGACGGGACGAGCATGAGAGGGACGGCGAGACCAGAAGTGAGAGGGAGGCGGCGGGTCAGGAGACAACAGAGGAGACAAAGGAGGAGAACGAGGAGGGAAACGAGCCGGAGACGAGTCCGGTGGAGGGAACACGGGGCCGTAAACAGGAGGAGGAGGAGACACTGGGGGAGGCGCAGGTGGTCGATCGGGGGAGGGACGACTGAGGAGGCAAAGGGTGGACACTGGCTGCTATTGCTGCTCTATGCCCACACCAGGACCTCCAGCCCCTCTGCGGCTACTGCCGGTACTTGCCGCGACAGCACTTCCAGGACCAGCACCCCCAGGACTAGTACCCCTAGAACTAGCACCCTCATCAGGACCAGCACCCCCATGACTAGCACCCCTAGAACTCTCAACCTCCTCTGAATTAGCAGACCCAGCGCTAGCACCCCGAGAGCCCACCGGCCCCTACCGCTGCGGCATCAGCTGCTGCTGCTACGGCGGCGGCGACGACTGTTGCTGCTGCGGCGGTGGCGGAGGCACCGGGGCCAGGGGTGCAGTCACCGCAGAGACTGACGGCGCACCCGTAGCCCCGGGACCGCCAGAATCAGCAGACTCCTCCGGCGGGCCAACCGAGGGAAGGGGAGTGACACGAGACACACCAGACAGGGCAGGCCAGGGAGGGAGGGGGCGAGAGCTACCGGGGGGGTGGGGATAAGGAATAGGTGCGAGGGTAACTGGGAGACCTCGGTTGGAGAAGTAGGAAGAAGGAGACAGACTCGTCAAAGGTGACGTCACGGGAGTGGGGGAAACGGTGAGATGGCGGGTGGTAAAAGTGCTAGTCAGACGCGTCAAGGGGGAAACCAAGGAAAACACAAGGAACAATGCAGGCAGTGAGCAGAGTCTCGAACGTGAGCTAGGCAACCCTAGACGTGAAACGCAGATGCGTCACTAGGAGACCCGGTGCAGAGGAGGGTCGGCGAAACCTGTGGGCGCGAAGCACAGGGCCACAAGTTAAGCTGCTGCGTGGCATTGCGGACTACTAACGGCCATACAAGGTACAAGCCTCCATGACCAAGCCGATGCGTCGCTCAACGATCCCATTCTGCTATGGTGAGTCCGGGAGTGTGTACGACTGGGTGATGCCCTCCAGACGACAGAATTGGCCAAGCCGACCGAAGGCGAACTTGCCTCCACTATCGAAGTGTAGACAAAGCATAGGCTGTGCGCAGTTGACTTGGACAGCTACAAGCTACGGGATAAGAAAGTTAAGAACGTCAGCCTTCCGCTCTAGGGGAAACACCGTGGTGTAGCGCGAGTAGTCGTCCACGAGAACCAGGAAGTATTGCCCGTGGTGCAACCTAGGGACCGGGGCTGGGCCCCAGACGTCCATGTGCAGGGTCTGAAGTGTCGTGGTGGTGGGGGGAAACAAGGAGGAGTGAGGAGCAGTGCGCTGCCACCCCTCAACGCAAGGCGTGCATGGAGGCATGGGTGGGGGAGGGAGGGCACGGAGCGACGCTGGTAGACCTAAGACAAGACCGTGCTGTGACATGTCACGGAGACACGGGAGAGCGGGGTGACCTAGACGGTAGTGCCACAGCAGGGACAGGTGGGTGAGCGACAGACACAAGCAAGCCGCAACGACCTGCGTAGAAGCAGCCACCTGGGGGGACACAACCACCTGGGGGGACTCGGTGTGCAGCTGAAATAGGCCAGACACAGGGTCCCCCGGAAACGTTGTGAGGGGAGCACCAGTGGCGTCCTTGGTACAGAGTGCACACCGCTCGTGTCCAAGAAACGTGGTGGTGACGCAGAGGTCCTGAAGATGGCCTACACCAACCAGGTTCCTGGAAAACGACAGGATGTGCAGAACTGTAAGAGAGCCAGAGGGAACCGCCAAACACGGATGTGTGGTGGAGCTCCGTGCGACTACTGGACTGGAGGAGGGGTCTACAAGGGAGACTGCTGCCGATGCAAGAAGGGGTGTGAGTGTGGTGTGGTCGAAAAAAAGTAGGCGGCTGCACCAGTGTCCAACGTGAAGGAGAGCGTGGCGGTAGCGTCGGCCAGTGGAGGCGCAAGGGTGGAACCAAGGCTACACAAGACAGGTGGCCAGCTGCTGAGGCCGCCTCCGTGGTAACCACCACCGAAACCACCTAGCCCCCACTGCTGCTGCGGCAGGGGCCCCCATTGCTGCTACTACGACTGCTACTACTGCCTCAGCTCGCCAACGGGCCCCTGCTCGCCAACGGACGATCAAGGCCGAGGGTCAGTGGACTAAGTACTCGAAACGTGGTTCTTAAGTTTGCTCTCTCGACTCGGACCTATTTGTCTGAATGCACTCTTTGTATATCTTTTGGGGTATGAGCTAGATCCAATATACTATTCTGGAATATTATGTTGTAAACACATCTAGTATGTGCCCCTCCCAAACCGTTCCACCATCAAACATTAAGGCTTGATGTAAGATGGTCCCTAAGCCTATAAACCCAAATTAGTGCAAAACATGCGGACAATTGTTTCTGTCACTGTATAAAACATCCACATACATTATCAAATTATCACATATCTAGAAAGCTACCAACGGCGCCAACCACCAGATGCTCAGCCTAGGCATTTTTAATGCCCAATCCTGAGAGGAATCCTGATCCTATCAAATCTACTCATCATATTTGTCATCCCAACAGTCCTTGGGCTCTCCACCAACCAGCTCGGTATCCTCCTCCTCCTCCTCCTCCTCCTCCTCCTCCTCCTCCTCCTCCTCCTCCTCCTCCTCCTCCTCCTCCTCCTCCTCCTCCTCCTCCTCCTCCTCCTCCTCCTCCTCCTCCTCCTCCTCCTCTCCTGTTGGCGCCTCTATGCCCTTCTCCTTCCCTTTCTTTGTGGTAGGCTGCTTCATCGGCTAAGGCTGAATGGTTTCATCCCAGTTTGGCTTGGGCTTCTTATAGCTGCGTCAAATGGCCACGACTTCATCTCAGATCGACTCATACTCCAGATTAGACATCGCCATGAGGTCAGAGAGTCGTGCATCCTTGAGCTGCACCTATCTGCCAACTCTTGATGATGTTCTGCTTAGAAAACACCACCTCTTACACTCAACTACACTCAGGGGAAGAACTACAACAGCGATCCACAATTTGACTAGGTTGGGGTACGCCTTCACCATCGCCGTGAGACTGGCAAACTTGGAGGCAGCAACTCGGATCGGGCACAAAGAGCTCCTTAAAGGCCTTGCGCTTGTCAATGCACGTCAGAGAAGGATAAGTGCACTATATTGGTATAAGCCATCGGACGTTGCAAATTCCCTGCAATTTGAGGCTGGTCTGGCTAAACAACTCCTTGAGGTCAAGGAAGCGTTGATGTCAGGGGCCACCGCGGCCGAGAAACTCAGCAAGCCAGCGGATCACGGTATCGGTCATACCGAACTCGGGTAACACATCCACAACATCCTTTGCTGCCAAGAACTCCCTACAACAAACATGCATACGATTTAAGCGCGTTAATACATTGGACCGCAAGGGAAGCATTGGTTAGACACGATACATGAACAGTTTGTTAATCTACATGTGCGCGATGTAATGATACGGCATGAGACAACGTACCCGCATATGAAGATGGGCAACAACCCACTGCGGTGGTCCAACATCACAGCAGCACCGTCGGTGCTCATGCTTGCGTAGTTGTTGGACAGCAACAGGCCAACCAGAGAGGTAGTATCCGTCTGGTGGACCGTCAAGCGGGCGAAGAATTCAATAACGATGTGCCCCTCGTGCAGGCGCGTGTTATACTGTACATGTCGATGTATTTGCCGTGGCATCGGTTTGTTGACTCGTCGCCACTGAGGCCAAGAAAAGGATTAGCTCGGATGTGGTCAAGGTGGGTTGTCTACAACCAGATAGCCGTTGACTAGGTGAACTCTCCAAAACCATACCTTCCACACAACACAATTAGAACAACTTTAGTAGGAGCTATAAAACTATTAAAGTGATAACACATTACAAAACCAGACAAAGGGGGATGCGGATGCATACGACTTGTAGTACGTGCCGTACCCCGCCTTGGAGAACTCCGCTTGGCCATGTACTGCACAAGGAGAACCCATGCTCCCATGGGTTCATTACTTTGCCAGCTAAACAGCAGGGCGTCGAGGAGGGCAACCACTCGCTCCTTCTTGAGGTTGACTACAACAGGTTTTTTGTCGATCGACTGTCGCTGCGTCGCTTTGGCGCTGCATCGCCAACTTATGTTTCCGTGTCCTGACATGACGCCTTGAAGGCTTGACTCTGAACATTGGTCGCACCCTGCCCACCATGGCCGCACTTGCCAGTAATACCGGCGTGGTCAAGGGAAACACCGCACTTTAGCGCAGGAAAGCCTCCAAGTGTTTTTGTTAGCATCAACCAAGGATAGCACGCTTGCAAGACTGACTTGTATTTATTATGAGCATCAGCATAAAGCAACTCGACCAGATTGGGTGTAGGGGTAGCAGAAGAGGTGCAAGCAGGATGAGGCATAATTGAAGCAAAGTGGAGAGTATCTTGCCAAAAATTACCAATATATTTTACTGCTACGCCGTTAGACTCAGGCTGATCTTGAGCTAGCGGCTCGGCGTGGACAGCCATTGAGATCCAGTCTGGTAATGGGAGTGGGGCAGGCGCATTCAGCTTCCAGTGTGGTTGTGCGCTGTGTAGGAAGGGAGGGAGGAAGGGGGGGGGGGGGGGGGGGGGGTGGGGGAGGGGGAGAGGGGGGAGGGGAAATGGGGTTCTCGGCGCCGCCTGTCAAATTTCGACTTATCTCAAGAATTCTTGCTCCAGTCTGCATACGCGATATGACCCTGACGCATCAGTGCCATAAAATTATTATGGAAAATCAGGATCAACACCCTCCATAAGGCTGGAATGTCGAGATCGGTACATCTAACACCTTGAAAACCACGAGAAAAATGAAAAACAAATTCTGACATTTGAGGGTCTCGCCAGTATAATATTTCGTATGTTTTGCACATGCGTGCACGTCAAGTGCGCTCCGAGCCTATTTTCTTGCCACGTGTTTCGAGCCCTCTTGAGCTTATCTATTTGCTTCGTGCCTATACTATATTGTATCGATGGGTTGGTTTTGATGTTGCGATACTTCACGCTAAACCAATCTTCGCTTCTCACTGTTTTTCATCCATGAAAACCAACTAAAAGTCATGGTTCCTAAACCCTATGTGCAAAATCACATGGAGTTCACTATGGCTACATTTGGCAAAACTTTTTTTTTTCGTAAAAACAAAATCCTTAGGTGATCAGTCATGACAGGGTAATTGCCCTGCTGGTACAGTGTCAACTTTTCGACGCAAATCCCCAGTTCGCACGTGGAATGTCGCGAGGATCTCGGGTCCAAATTGTGACTGTGCTTGCGTCCACCAATAGATTCGTTGCGTGACAGCTGGATGTGCGCCAGCAGAGGATAAGTTTGAAAGATCCGAACCTGTTGACACGTCACCTTTCAACCTCTTCCCACGAACATGGGGAAATGGATTGGTCTGACATGGGCAAAAATCTCTTCGGTTTGTGAAGCTGGTAGCCCTCAACTTCGTTCTACCCAGGTTGAGTCGAACCGGAGTTTTGAATGCCGCGTGTTTTGTTTACAAACCTGTCATTTTGTTCGCCGTTCTCCCTCGGATTTCCAAACACCTTGCAGGCTGGTCTCCCGAAACGGGAAAAAGTTGCCACCGCCAACCCGAAAAGTTGGGAGCGAAGCTGATCCAACCTTGGGTAGAAAGGAACGGGGGTTGGCGCACCCTGGGATCTCTGCCACCGCCTCCAGCCCACTCGCCCGTCAACTGAGGGAGTGTTCTGGGCTCGGGGAAAGCTTCGAGGCAGGACTTCGGGCCATCAGTTGTACGAGTGAGATCGCCCAAGCCCTCACTTTGTTTGATCTCACCCGTATAATTGATGCCCCGAAGCCTTGCCTCGAGGCACCCCGAGCCCAGAACGCACCCTCAACCTCAACTCCCTCTCCATCCACCGCGCCGATTGGAGGGAGCGAGTAAGCAGCAAAGCAAGCCCTCCAATGGACCCACCCATGCCGCTGCCCACTCCAACCAAACCAACCAGCCACCTGGAGAGTGAGCACCTGCAAGCACAGCAGCGCAACACATCATCGTATCTCTCTCCCTCTGTGCACTCTCGCCTTCCCATCAGTCTCCTTCCCACATTTCTCCGTGGGCGTTCGGCTCACACCGAGACCCATCCAGTGCACATCACACACAACCTCACTGCAGTAGAGTGCTTGTTCTCTCCTTGATACTCACTACGCCTCTCCATCACAGCTGTCATTGAAACGATACGCCAGTCCTTCGGAAGGTCCATGGCGTCCATAGCTCCTCCGCATCCAGCGGCAGCGACAGCCTCATCACACGCCGCGACATCTACTTGGTGTCCCAGGAATGGTGGTAGCTCGTTACGGCAAGTCGCCCATCAAATGCCCACCGTTGTCCCAGCATTCGCACTGCGCGCCGAGTCCCGCCAGTCCGTAACGGCTAGTGGAACTGTTGGCGGGAGCCGGCCGGGCCTTCCCCGCATGTTAAAGCGAATATCGTTCCGCGAAAGCGTGATCGGCGGAAGCGGGCTGCTGAGGGGTGTGAAGTGCGCGCCGCGCCACGTATGTATGAGCCAGCCGCCATTTGGGTTCGGGCCAGGCGAGCCGCCCCAGGATGAGGATGAGTATGTGGAGGCGCACGTGCTGGACGCCGGTGAGGACTTGCACTCTCACTTTCTCCCCCTTTCTCCCCCCTTCTCTCCCCCCCGTTCCCCCTCCTCCCCTTCTGTCTCACTCTATCTCGTTTTGCCTCTTGCTTTCTCGCTCGCTCTACCTTCGCCTCTCATCCTGCTTGTCCTTCTCTCCGTCCACCGATGCGCATTCCGCTCTCGAGCGACTCGCATCAGGACGTTCTCGCACCTCGCGCCTCGCTCTCTCCCAACTCTGCCCACCGTCTCCTCCTCCCTCCTGCCCTCCTCCACTCATCACCTCGCCCCTCTTTCCCCCTTTGCTCCCTGCGTCACTTTCTCCTCTGTTTACGTGCTCTCGCGTACGCATGCGTCGTGGTCGTGGCGTCGGCGGTGTCGGCGGTGGCGGCATGCGCAGTGCGCATGGTGCCGGCCGCGGAGTCGCTGCGCATGGCGATGAGCGACGGCACGGAGCTGGAGGTGCGGCACGTGCACGCGACGGCGGGGCGGCTGCTGTACCCGCACGCCACGCCCGCCATCTTCCTCAAGATCGCGCGCGCGCCCGACCTCGTGCTGCCCATCGTCGTCGGTCAGTGCGCCCGCTCCCCCGCCCTCCCCTCCCGCTTCCCCCGCTCCTTTCTCTTCCCCTCCTGCTCCCCTCCCCCCTCCTCCCACCCCCCCTCCACCCCTCCCCATCTCCCGCCTCGTCTCCGCCGCTCCTCTCCTCCCAAATTCCATGTCGGTCGTCGAGTCGTTCGTACTCCCCCCCTGTGTATCCCTCCGCCCGCTCTCTCCACGTGTATTCCCCCGTGTGTCCGCTTCTCTCCGCTCGTCCTGATGTCCCCTCTGCCTGCTCCCCGTGCGCCGTGTCCCTGTGCCCCCCTCTTTTCCCGCCCCCTTGCGTGTGTTGCTGGTGCGTGGGGCGGCGAGCAGGCGAGTTGGCGATCGGCTTGCTCATGAAGGCCTTCCGCCGGGAACACGCCGTGAGCACTCCGCCCTCTCCCATGCCCCGCTCGCCATGCCCCGCTCGCCGTGCCCCGCTCGCCGTGCCACGCTCACCGTGCCCCGCCCGACGTGCCCGCTGGCCATGCCCGCTCGTACCTCAGGTTTCTAAAAGTCCGGTGTTTCCTGAGTCGTGTGGTCAGTGCACCCCTCTCCCCGCTCTTTCCTCGCATCACATCTATCCCATCCCGTCGCCTCTCCTCCTCCCCTTCCCTCTCGTCTCTCCCGCCCCCTCATTCCCCCTCATCCCCCCCTCTCGCCCCCCCCCCCCCCCCTCTCCTTCCCCCTCCTGCGCACGTGCGGGCAGGCGCGGCCCAACCACTACGACGTGATGACGGAGATGGTGCAAGCGCTGCGATACGAGGTAAAAAGGGGGGGGAGGGTAGGGGGGTGCTCGCACGCCACCCGCCAGGGCCACTGCTCCTGTTGCTCTCTCCGCTAGCGCGCTGCCTGGGGACACACGCATGCACTCACACGCGAGGGACCAGTGCTCCCCCCTGTGCTCCTGCCCGCCCGGCTGCTATTGGCGATCTTCCCCGCTGGAAAGCCCCTCTCGCATTGCTTTTTCGCATGCTCTCCCTCGCCTCGTTCCCTTTGATCCCTTGTTCACCCTGCCCCTCTCCCCCGCTGCTCCCCCCTCTCCCTGCGGCCTGTCGCGCGCCCCGCCGGTCGCAGGTGCGCGCGGTGAGGATCACCCAGCGCGTCATGGACACCTACTACGCGCGCGTCTACCTCGCCCCCGTGAGTGCCTCGCCCCCGTGAGTGCCTCGCCTTTTTAGCGGTTACCAGCTTCCCCGCTATAGCAGCCTCTCGGCTGAGATCCCGGACCGCCCGCTGCGCGCGTCGCAGGCCACATGCGCCAGCGTGCACGCCGCTGTGCGCGGCAGTGTGTGCCTTGTGACTTGTGGGATCTCGTTGACTCGCAGATTGCGCGCGCCACTAGGCGCGCTCACCCGTCCAATGCGCACCCCATCCGCCACATGTTCACCCCCCTTCCCTTTTTCCCTTCCCCCCTTTCCCCCCCTTCCCCTCTCCTTCCCCCCCCCCCCTCCCCGCAGCCCGACTCCCCCGCGTGCGTGGCGAGCGTGGACGCGCGGCCGTCGGACGCCATCAACCTGGCGGTGCGCGCGCACGCGCCCATCCTCGTGAGCCGCGCCATCGTGCTCAGCGACGCCGTCAGAGTCGTCGCCGCGGGGTCGGAGGGGGGGGGCCAGGGGGCGAGGGAGGGGGAGGGGGCAAGGGAGGGCGAGGGATTGAGGGAGAGGGAGAGGGAGAGACATGAGCACGGGGGGCTTTCCCAACACCTTGGGTTCCCGCACCAGCAGCACCAGCAGCACCAGCAGCACCAGCAGCACCAGCAGCATCAGCAGCACCAGCAGCACCACCCGCAGGATTTTTTTGACGCCTTGCATCAGCAGCGGCAGCAGCAGCAGCAGCAGCCGTTTTTGCATGGGCATAGTGAGCATGCGGGCGACCGGAGTAGCATGGACAGGTGCGCGGGGCCCCCGGGCCCGCATGGATGCACACATGGACCCACGCGCACACACGCACGCACGCACGCCCCCCCCCCCACACACACACACAACCACACGCACGCACTCTCACGCACCCCCCCCCTGTCCACACATACACGCGCACGCCCATTGCTATCCACACGCGCCCTCTGCTCTCTCAAGTGTCTTCAACCCTGCTGTTACCTTCCGTGCATTCTCTACCCCAAACCCCCCATCCCCCTTACCTCACTCCCTCTCTCTGCTACTCCCCCTTTCATCATGCCTGCTGTGCTTTCCTAACGACCTTCTGTAATCATGGCTTGTGTGTCTGTCTCCACCGCCTATCTCTCTGCATGGGTGCATTTATGGGTGCATGGGTGCATTTATGGGTGCATGGCTCCATGCATGCGCATCGCATTTGTCCTTGTCCGGTCATGGGTACATTTGTGGTGCGTGCATGGGTGCATGTCTGCATGTCCCTGCGCGTGTGCGTGTGTGTGTGGCGCCATGGTGCCAGGGCGGGCGGGGCAGCGGACGCCATAGCGGAGGAGATGGCGCTGATGAAGGCCATGCAGGCCGCCGCGCACGAGGAGCGATACGCTGATGCTGGTGCGCTGCCAGGGCGGTGGGGGGGGGGGCAGGGCAGAGGAGGGTAGGGCAGGGGAGGGATGGGATGGGATGGGATGGGATGGGATGGGATGGGATGGGATGGAGTGGGATAGTATGGGATCGGATGAAGAGGAATCATGTTGGTATTAGCCCTATTTTCTGATGCATAATATGCGCATGTGTTTGCCCCTTTGGCTTGCCTGCCTTCCCATTGCATGTATCACATGTGCCCTCCCCTCTCCCCCCTCCCCCCTCCCCCCCTGTGCTCACGCACCTGCAGCGCGCCTGAGGGACCAGCTGCAGCTGCTGCGCATCCGCAACCGCAGGCAGCTGCACAACAGAGTACAGCCCCTCCCCTCTCTTCTCAACACGCCCCCCTCGTCCTCTTGCCGCTCCCCGCACAACCGCTAACTCCTCTGTTTATCAACTTGAGATGCCGTCGTCTGATGTGGCCACCATGCGCACTGGCCTGCTCTCCCTGATCCGACGTTGCTTTCTTACTTCTCCTCTTCCGTCCCCTCATATATACCTCTCTACCCCTCTTCAACTCTTTGTTGGTTTCCTCCTCTACCCTTCTTCATCCTCTCTCCCTCTCCCCACCCCCCTTCCCCACCTCCCCTGCCCTGCCCTCCCCCCCCCTTGACTGCAGTTCTGATCCCATACTCATAGTACGCGAGGCTTGGAGCCGTCGCAGCCTCCTTGCCTCGAAGGCCATCCACTTGAGCCTGCTGCTGACAGCAATCACAGCCTCCTCGACCCTTCGCACTCCCTCCATTACTCCACCATGGGAGGTTCCACTCCCATCTCCAACATACCGCACCCACCTTCCACCTACCTATCTCCACGTCCTCTGCTTCCATCATCCTTGCGCCCCACACCTAGTGCTCGCCAGCCCACTTAGCCTTTGCAGAAATGTCTTGGACGTACACCCACTTATAGGCTGGTATGCTTGTACTGTACATGAGTGAACTACCGGCCTGGAAAAGGGATCTGAGTGTAAGAATTTGTAAAAAGGGTGCAGGAGACTAAGTATAGAATCTGCAGACACAAGTACTGTATTCCCCTGTATATAACACCCTTCGGTATTGTCAAAATTTCACTTTCGAAAAAAACGTATGCGTGTTAACAGTAGGCTGGAAAATTATTAAGCCCATATCTTATGTAAATTGCAAAATGAATTTGGGTTGTAACAGGCACTTTGAGGGCAGAATTGTCAAACATATATTGTTATGTTTGTATAGACTGTATAGGTTTATGTCTTAGAGGGTACAGCTTCTGGGTTATATTACTTTGTACACTCCCATTCTAGTTCATTCTCTCGTTCTAACATGGTATCATGAGTAGGTTAGATCTGTCAACTTATACATATGCTGTATGTAGAAGTTATAGGCTAGCCTAGGTGTGTGCTTCTAGTGAGTACAACCCCAACAGGTATATGTTCTAGGTTTCTCACACTAGTCAATCATTCTCGCATTCTAACATGGTATCACGAGTAGGTTAGGTCCACCCACCAGGGCCCAAAATTGGTTTTAGGCCACTCTTTGAGATCAGAGTAGGAAAAAAAAAATGCCCTGACGGTCAGAGCTAAAAAAATTCTAAGTCTGATTTGGCAGGGTAAAAAAATTCGAAGTCTTTGCTTCAAGTGTAGAACTCTTTGCACCCTTTCTAGCCTTGGCCATTTAAGGAACATTTTACATGAATGAAGTGGGCTGCACTGAGGTGTGGAAAGAAGGGTGTAGCGGATTTGCGCGTGTTGGGGGAGATTGGGGGATGGGATGGGACGGAAAACGATTCTGGGGCGCGAGAGGGGAATCAGATTTACATGGGCGGCAGAGGGGCGGGAAAAAAACCATCTGCTCGTGATTGGTTGGGTGTCAGAAGGGCGTATACGACGTGACGTGTCTTGCTGTGGTGTGGAGGACTTAGCGAAAAAAAAAAGGTAGCGGGGGTGTGGTTGGGAGGCATGTCTCTTGTGGGGGACTTAGCCATTTCTGGGTTGCGAGGGGGTGAGGGAGCTATGACTCTGGCTACGACTTAGCCGAAATTGCTGGCTTGCATGGTGCGTGGGGTGGGAGGAATGACTCTGGCTGCCAGGGACTTCGTCGAAATTTTTGGTTGCAGGGTGTTTTGGGGGAAATGTTTCTGGCCGCCAAGGACTTAGTCGGAATCTCGGAGTTTCGATACCAGGGTAGTTTTCAGGACGCCCTGAAGGGTCAGGGTTCGGGGCCCCGCAACCCTAGTTTCGGCAGGGTAATATTTTCGTAACACTTTTTGGATCAGGGTAATAAATTTCGTAAGTCTGATTTTTAAGACCAAATGAAAAAATGCCCTGAAAAATCAGGGCAATCAGGGCATTTTACCCGGCTAATTTGAGCCCTGCCACCCACCCCCTTCCGCCCGCGCCCTAGCCTCTCGCCCCCTACCTAGCCCTCGCGCCCGCCCGGCCTGTCGCGCCAGCCCAGCCCTTAGCGCCCGCTCAGCCTGTAGCGCCCGCCCGCCCCTTAGCGCCCGTCCGGCCCGTTGCTCCCGCCCGGCCCTTAGCGCTCGCCCGGCCCGTCGCCCCCACCCGGCCCGTAGCACCCGCCCGTCGCGCCCGCCTGGCCTGTTGCGCCCGCCTGGCCCCGTCGCACCTGCCTGGCCCCGTCGCGCCCGCCTGGCCCCTTAGTGCCCGCCTGGTCCGTCGCGCCCGCCTGGCCCCTCCGCGCCACCCTGGACCCTAGCGACCGCCTGGCCCCTCCGCGCCCGCCCGGCCCGTTGTGCCCGCCCATCCCACAGCGCCCGCCCGGCCCCTCCTAGCGCCCGCCCGGCCCCTCCTAGCGCCCGCCCGGCCCCTACTAGAGCCCGCCCGGCCCGTTGCGCCCGCCCGTCCCACAGCGCCCGCCCGGCCCCTCCTAGCGCCCGCCCGGTCTGTTGCGCCCGCCCGTCCCACAGCGCCCGCCCGGCCCCTCCTAGCGCCCGCCCGGCCCCTCCTAGCGCATGCCCGGCCCCTCCTAGCGCTTGCCCGGCCCCTCCTAGCGCCCGCCCGGCCCCTCCTAGCGCCTGCTCGGCCCCTCGGCCCCTCCCATCGCTAGCCCGGCCACGTCGCGCCCGCCTAGCTCCCAGTGCTCGCGTGGCCCCTCCTAGCGCCCGCCCAGCTCCTTTTCGTGCCCGCTCGGCCCCTCCTAGCGCCAGCCCGGCCCTGATACGCCCACCCGGCTCCTGCGGCCCCCAGCTCCCAGAGCCCGCCCGGCTCCTGCGGCCTTGTGTCTTCTGCTCGGCACGGTTCCTCGAGTCTCCGGCCCCGTGTCTTCTGCTTGCCCGCGCTGAAGCATCTTGCAGACGTCCTCCTGGAGCTGTGCTGCTGTGTCCTGTGGAGCTGTACCGCTGTGTCCCTGTGCCGCTGACCCTGCACGATGGCTGACTTCGTACTTCGCCTGGACGCGGAGGGCCACGCGGTTGACTTCGCCGCCTGGCTGTTCGATCTCCGCCGTCAACTCACAGGTCAGCGCCAGGATGGGCACTCCTTGGTTGTCCATGCTGATGGCTTGCTCCCCCGCCCCCCTGCACCTGCTCCCCTCCCTGCTGACCCCACCTCTCCTGAGCGTGAGGTTTTCTCTGCTGCTGCACTTGCCAGTGCCAGGTGGGACTCTCGCGATGCAGTTGCTCGGGTCGTTATCAATCACACCCTCCCTATGTCTGAGCGTTCGCGTTTCTCTACAGTTGATACAGCCAGGGCTTACTTAGATGCTGTTGTTGCTCGCTATTCCACGCCTGCCTCCACTACTGCAGGCCGCCTGCTCTTCCCTATTCTTTTCCTAGACCTTGCTTCCTTCCCTACAGTTGCTGACCTTGCACTCACCTGCGAGCCCTAGAGTCTCGCTACCGCACTGCTAGCACTGCTGCCCAGCTCACTGCTCTCCCTCCCCCCTTCTGCATGACCCTCTACTTTATCGCCATGCGACTACCTGACCGCCTTGCTAGTGCACGCGACCACATCCATAGCCAGCACCCGGGTGATCTCACCCTGACAGCCTTTGTCACCGCCCTGACAGAGATTGAGACACGCCAGCGCACTATCGCTCAGTCGAGCGGTGCGCCGGCAGTCTCTATCTTTCACGGCAGTGCCCCCTCCCAGTCCACGTTTACTGACGTTTCGGCTGCGGTCGCCACTGCGACCTCTCTGACCGAGACTGTAGTTGCGGCACACCCGCAGTAGCGCCCGCGCTGCGCCGGTCGTGGTTGCCAGGGAGGGCGTGGTGGTGGAGCTGGTGGTACTGGTGGTGGTGCCGGGGACAATGGTTCTACTGAGGGGACTGCCGCAGCTAGTCAGGAGCAGCCGCCGTCGCCCCAACAGCAGGAGCAGTCGCAGCTGCCGTCTCAGCAGTCGCAGTCGTCGCAGCAGCTGTCCCAGCCCCCGCCGTGGGCTCATCTCCCGCCGGGTTGGCCCGGCACCTCCGTAGGTGGTGGCCGTGGTGGTGGCCTGCGCAACTTGGCGTCTACCGGCAGCTCCGTTGGTGTGACCTGCCAGTACTCGCTTCAGACCGGGACTCTCCGCGGTACTGTGTGCCGCCGCCCGCACCTAATCGCCCGCTGTTTCCGCCGCCTCGACGATCTCTTTTGTCGTCGCTTTGGCCCGGCCCCGGACCTCCCCGACTAGCAGAGCCTGCTTCACCAGGGCATGCCGATCTTTCAGCTAGATATGGATCAGATAGGTGCTGCTTTGCATGCCTTGTATGCTGACGCTTCTAGTGTTGCTGGATCTTATTATCCTGTGTATTCTAGTTTAGGCGTAGCACCCTTGTGTACCCTGCGTCAGGCGGAGGACTGCCTTGTTTGCCTAGGCTAGTTTCTGCACCGGCTCCGTTCCCGGCCTCCGCTACTTCCTCGCTGTCCTTCACTCTCGACTCTGGTGCTTCTGCCTGTTTCTTCCGCAAAACCGCTCCACGCTCACGCCGCTTGCTGCGCCTGCTGTTGTCGCTCTTGCTGACCCCTTTGCAGGTCCTGTCGTCGCTCGCAGCTCCACTTCCCTTCCCTGTCCAGCCGTTCCCTCAGGTTCTCTTACAGGCCTTCACGTTCCCTCGTTCTCCAGGAACCTGGTTGGTGTCGGCTGTTTTCAGGACCTCGGCGTCACCACTACGTTCCCTGAGCACGAGCGGTTCGCTCTCTGTACCGAGGCTGTCTCAGGTTCCTCCCTTGTGACGTTCCCCCAGGACCCGGTATCCGGTCTATTTACCCGCGACACCGCTTCCCCCCCGGTTGTTGCGTCCTCCCAGGTCGCTGAAGCTTGCTCGTGTCGGTCCCTCACTCACCCGTCCCTTTTGTGGCACCACCGCTTAGGTCACCCTGCTCTCCCGCGTCTACGTCACGTGTCTCAGCACGATCTTGTCTTGGGCCTCCCCGAGTCGCTCCCCGCCCTTCCCCCCTCGACTGTGCCACCGTGCATGCCTTGCGTTGAGGGCCGGCTCCGCCGTGCCCCTCACTCCTCCTCGCTTCGCCCTCCTACTGCTCCCCTTCAGACCCTGCACCTGGACGTTTGGGGCCCAGCCCCCGTCCCCGGACCGCGCGGTGAGCACTACTTCCTTGTGCTCGTCGACGACTACACGTGCTACACCACGGTGTTTCCCCTGGAGCGGAAGGCTGACGTACCCGATGTTCTTCTCCCGTGGGTTGTGGCTGCGTGTCTTCACCGCCGTCTCCCCGTGTTGTGTCTCCACTCTGACCGTGGCGGCGAGTTCGCCTCTGGTCGGCTTGGACATTTCTGTCATGCGGAGGGCATCACCCAGTCGTACATCTTGCCGGACTCGTCACAACAGAATGGGGTTGCTGAGTGCCGCATCGGCTTGGTCATGGAGGTTGCTCGTACCTCCATGATTCATCCCGATGCCCCCCATTTTCTGTGGCCGTTCGTTGTTCGCTACGCTGCTCACCAGCTTAACTTGTGGCCCCGCTCCCAGCAGCCGCAGGTTTCGCCGACCTTCCTTTGGACTGGGTCCCCCGGTGACGCGTCTGCGTTCCACGTCTGGGGTTGCCTTGCTCACGTTCGTGCCTCTGGCACAGACAAGCTCACTGCCCGCACTGTCCCTTGTGTCTTCCTCGGTTTCC